CCATTGCGTTTTGACGCAAATTTTCCTTCCCTGGCTTAGATCAAACCGCTTCATAGATGTATATATATATATATATATATATATATATATTTCATATGTATATAGTCCATATAAACATACTATATATATGGAGAGAGAGAGAAAGAAGGTGGAAGAGAGTGAGAGAAAAATACCATATGCACATACACACCATATGGTCCACTACAGGCCACTATTAATATGTAGTTTCCTCATCCTTTGAGGCCAGCTAATGATTTCCCTCTAATGAGGCTGAATAGTGCAGCTGAACATTGTGGACTAAACTACATTGATGCAGCTCCCAAACTGCTAATGCTCTTCTCCAGTGAGCGCTGCATCATGAAATCCTCATGAAATCGAGTGTGTTCTGCAAATTGTGTTGTTTACTCTGGTCCATCTCTCTTGTCATTTATTTTGTGCTCTGGTGAACAATTTTGTGTCATAATGACTGACAAATTGTGCCCACGATAGAGCTGGATGTGTCATAAAGAAGCAGAGAAAGAGTGCTAAGCTGGAAGTTAAAATGGACTGTTTCACCACGGCCTGAGGCTTTTTGAAGGAACTGGAAACCATGGTAAAGATGAGTAGGCCATTAGGAGCTGGTTCACGTGTTTAGACATTAGGAGGGTCATTTTACACATCCCTTCAACCAGGGCACATTGACCTGGCAGGGTCAGGCATGTCAGGGGTGAAAGGATTTTAAAAGCAATGTGATTAGTACTGTCCCTCTGGAGGAATTTTGTTAAAATGACCTCTACAGCATTGGTCCAGGTGTCCTGGGTCCCTCTGTTCCATCAGCCCTCCCAAACCTCTGCTCTCCAGTTTAGCAGAGTGTGCTAATATGTACTAGAAGATCTGTATTTATTTATTTCTATTTACTTAATGGAATTTATTGGGCTGGCATTGGCTCACAAAATTACCTTGTTATCTCATTCTTACTTCAACTGAAATAATGTTAAATGTAGGCTTTATGTTTCCCCCTGCTTTTAACTAGCTTTTTCTTAAGTGAGAAAGATAGTCATGATTTCTTTTCATTTGAAACATTTTTGTCTTAAGTAGATGTGGATGAAAAAGAGGCCACGTACTAAACCTGCAAGTCCTGCACGGTGGCTTTTCAAACCCAGAGTCCTAACGTGACCATGCAGGGAAGCCCGCAGGTAGAAATTCCTGGCTGAAAGTGGGTCACAGTGGTAGCCACTTCCTGGGCCTTTAACTTCCCTGTCACGGGTCAACCTTTACCTTTGACATTGTCTTTGTTTTTGAGAATCTAAGAGAACCTACCTTTGAAATGTCTGAGTCATTTTCTTTTCTAGCCCCATCAAAGGTACAACCAGGGGCAGCAGGGCAGGACACCACATTGCTATCTTGTCCCCCACCTATCCTCTCTGTGCGCGGTAAACGTTAACTATCCTGCACTCAGCAGTATCAAAGAAGTGTCTCTACATCTTGCTTTTTATCCAATCCCAGAGAGTTCTCGCTTTGCTTCCTCCTGCCCCCTTTATCTACCACCAATGGGTTTCACGTAACCCTCCCTATGTCTCCTCCTTTGATTCTAATGTATAAAATAAACTGCAAAACTGCCATTCTCTGGAGCGGTTGCTCAGTCCGTTGAGATTTTGCTTCCCGGCAGTTGTCATCAGTCCGGATCAGATGCACTCTTATAAGACCTTTTCTTAGGCTGAACATTCTTTCGCCGACATAGAGAACCGTAGACTTGGCCACTGAACATTGGAATCCACATCTGGCTTTTCTGCCAGAACCACTATCTTCCATTAATTTGCCAAAATGACTAACACAAAGGGAAAGAGGAGAGGCACCTGCTCTGTGTTCTCTAGGCCTTTTAGAGTTGCTCCTTTGACCACGTACATGCGGATCTGTAAGAAAGGTGATATTGTGGACATCAAGGGATGCCCCACAACTGTTCCTGTGGCAAAACTGGTAGAGTCTACAGTGTCACCCAGCATGCAGTGGACATTGCTGTGAACAAACAAGGGCAAGAGTCTTACCAAGAGAATTAATGTATGGATTCAGCATAGTAAGCACTCTAAGAGCCGAGATAGCTTCCTGAAACATGTGAAGGAACATGATCAAAAAAAGAAGGAAGTCAAGGAGAAAGGTACCTGGGTTCGACTGGAGTGCCGGCCTGTTCCACCCAGAGAAACACACTATGTGAGAACCAATGGAAAGGAGCCTGAGCTGCAGGGCCCATTCCCTATGAATTCATGGCATGACAAGTGTAAAAAAATAGAAGACCTCTGTACTGATTTTTAAAAAAAGGATCCATGTCTGAGGGTGGGATAGATCACCAAAGTTTGAAAAGGTCCCCAGTAATTCTAATCCCCAGCCAGGTTAAGCGGGACTGCTCAGAAGACTGTTGTCAACTTACTATCTAAGACGTTGATAGTTCACATGGAACACTTTTCACACTTATTATCCAAGGTGTTGATATTTCACTTGGAATGCTTTTCAAACTTGTGAAAAGCCTACCCAGATGACTAATTATTTTACACTGTTTTCCTCTCCCCCAATTGAGAATTCATTTTCAAGTGAATCTAGATAATGGTATCTGACAATTAGGCCCAGAGTTCTTGAGTGGGAGAGAGAACTTATAAGAACTGTGGGTTTGGGTGCTCATTCAGAGAATAAATATCTATCGAGCATATATGAATAACTTCCTCTACACCAGTTCTATCATTTCCCAGGAATATTGAATGAGGGTTGCTTTTTATGGAAATTAAAGCTGATTCACTTACAGGCCAGATATCTCTGTTTGACAAGTGGTGGTGTGTGAGGATCCAGGCAGCCCTGTGTACTCAGAAACATTAGAAAAGCTGGGAGCTATAAAGGGACAGCTTCCTTGCTCTGCAGTGGGGGTTGTACACAGGTACTTCAGCAATGATTAACCAGGGAGTCTGCACTGACGTCAGACGAAGCAAAGTAAAAGCCAGCACCTGTGAAGCTTCTGCACTGGTTTCTACTCCAGATTCACCTGGAAAATGCTTGTTTTTCTCCATAGGTTCGAACCTGTGTCCTGCCTGAACACAAGGATACCCTGCCGGAGATTGGGGTAAGTGCTTCTTTTGTTTCCAAAAGGCGAGCTCATCACTTCGAAGTTAATGATTTGGGTTTTCCTTGGCTTCCTGCCTAGTAGCTGACAAATGAAATGGAGTTACATTGACAGGGTGTGAGTATATGAGGAAGCTCTGTCACGTATTTGCTGAGTTGCATGGAATACATTTCTTATCTCCTGAAAATAATCCTCCAGTGAATCGGGATTTAGGCCGGCTGGCTAGCGAGGCGTCTAGAAGTTGCCCTGCAGGTAGCTGAGATGCAATTCCCAGCTAACACTCCTGGACCACCGGGAGGCTGGGGAAATTGTAGACGTGAGTTCTACCTCTTCAGGAAGGAGGCAGAGAACCAACCAGCCACCGGACTGTGATGCTTTCTGTTTCTTGCTGCTTAAACCTGTCAAAACATGCCACCTGAACCTGGCAAGGCAGCCCTCCACATATACGCCCGAGAAGAATGCCAGCCATCTCTGAATCTGGTAGAGTAGAAGGGAAAGGGTATTGGTGCTCACTCATGCCTAACACAAGCTTCTTGTTTCTTTTTGGGGACTGGTTGAATACCTCTGACTCAGGAGAATCTCTGTGCTTTGTTTTCTGCCTTCACCTCTTGGGCTGCTCTCACTTTCACTACCAGTCTCTGTGCCTAGACTACAGGGGCTTCGTTTTAATTTCTCCAGCAGGCCTAGGGCCTAGCAAGTTCTTCCCAGCCTCAGGCCTTCATTGCTCAAGCACTTGTCTCCCTCCCAGATCAGACACCTTTTGTTTCTGTCCACCCCAGGCGCCCTCCTTCAAGCTAGGTCCTCCACTACACACTGTCATCACACCCTTTACCCATCCTTCATCAAGTGTAAGGCCTTTTGAAATTTGTAACTATTAAAAAGTTAATAATTATTTTATAAGGAAGTCCATTTATTTCTGAGGCTCAGGATGAGATGGTTTCCCTCTTACTGTCCACCTCCTGCCCCAGCTGTTCTGTGTTAAACCCCCCTTGCTTGAAGCTTTATTGCTATCTTGACCTAATTGTATGAATTTCCCTGCTATTTTTTTCTCATTCAGGTTCTTGGAATACATCTCATTCATTATAAGACTTGAATCTCTGATTTTAAAGTATTTTCTTCCATCCTCTCCTGACACCGTTTTCCACTGCAGGCTGGACATCTCTGTGCCTCTAGCAGCCTGTGGTGGGGGGCGAGCATAGTCTGATTCTCACGCATGTCCTACCCTTTCCTGCTCTTGCTGCTCATGCTGTGGTGAGGGGAGAGGCAAGGGGACAGGTTCCTCTGTGCTTGTCCACGGGGAGGGGGAGGGTCCCTTTCTGCTGGCTCTGATGTTTCTCAGGTCAACGCTGGCTAACAGAATCCTCTGCGTGGCAGATGATTGAAATGCTGGCTCTCTCGTGAGCACAAACATAGGTACGATGCTTTTATTCAGTGTGGATAGTGCATGTATCCACTTTCCATTCCTGTGGGGTGGGAAACTGTGTAACTGTAACTATTAGGCTTGACAGTTAAAAAAAATACCCAGGCTCTGAAAAAGGACCTGTCTTGTAGGTTATGTGAGGGAAGATGTTGTGTATCAGCCTCATGATATCACCATCAGCTCTTCAGAGATCTTTGAAAACTTACACCACAGTTCCTGTATGTAGTTTTATAAGAATAGGTCAAAGTATTATTGTTGTGCCCATTTCACCTCTAAGCCAGCACCATTCAGTAGAAATATAATGTGTACCACAAATGTGATTTTAAACTTCCTAGGAGCCCAGGCTTTTAAAAGAGTAAAAAGAAACAGGTGAGATTAATTTTAATATTTCATTTAACCCTATACTATCTGCAAAATATTACCATTTCAAAAAATAATCAATATAATTAATTAGCAATAAATTATTTATCACATTCCTTTTCTTCATGCCACATCTTATAAATTTGATGCGCATTTCACCCTTAGAGCACATCTTAATTGAGAGCTACAGCTCAAGCTAGGGCTCAAGCTGGTGGCTACGCATTGGATAGTGCAGCTCTAGACAGTATTTGGAAAATCTTGGGAGTTTCCATGCAAATTTCATTGTAAAGGAGACATGTACTCTGGGTAAAGGCTTAGTTAGATGAATGTACCTGATGGAGGTTTGCCCAGCTCATGGCCATGTGTATGAGGTTGTACATCCTCTGGCTCCTTATGCAGTAGTGCTCGACCAGGGGACCATTGAGGACCTGCTCCAGGGGGGTGTACAACCCCGCTGGGCATCCGGGATATCTGTGACTTGCTCAGAGTCCCTGTGAAGGCTGGTGAGATAAACTGTTTACTTGTACAGTCCCTGTGGAGAGCAGCCAGGGATTGAGACAGGTGCCTTCCTTTCTTCCTCTGCTTGACATCACACACTCCAGCCAAGTGAGTGATTGAAATCGTGCATGAAGCCATTTAATAATCACCTGCTTTGGGTGCTTGGACCAGAACTGTCGTGGTAAGTGCTGCCTATCATGAGCAGACTAGAAAGGTCAGAGCCGCGTGCAGTGCAGGCAGAGCGCTGTCAGAAGGAAAGGCATTGCCACCTGCCTTGGAAATGAGGCCTAGTGTGATGGGGGTGGAAGAATGCTGGACCGAAAAGCAAGAAGCCTGGACTGGAATTGGCCTGTGACCAGGTGTAAGCAGTTCACTCCTCTGGGTCTGTTTCTTCCCCTGCAGACTGGCAGTGCCTTAACAAGCCCTGCCATTCTCTGATTCCAGATGGACATTTCTTGGGCACTGCTGAACATTCCACGTGATCTGACAAAAATATGAGCTATAGGGAATCATAGGTAACATGCAACAACAGTAACTGTATAGGACCATGCAAACTTTGTATCTTTGTTTTTTTTTTGCACTTGTAATCTAGTATTTCTTTTAATTTATATTTTTTTCTGAACCTATTGTTTATTGTGTGTGTGTGTGTGTGTGTGTGTGTGTGTGTGTGTGTATTTTATTGCGGGAATTTCTCATAGACTATATGAGAAAATATGTGTGTATATTTTTAAATACTCTGACTTTTCCAAAAAGTACTTAAGGTAGACTTATAACACTTTTAGTTGAGTGTATTATTATTATTATTTTAAATCCTCACCTGAGGATATGTTTATTGATTTTTATTTTTTGAGAGGCAGGGAGAGAGAGAGAGAGAGAGAGAGAGAGAGAGAGAGAGAAAGAAATACAAAACATTGATATGAGAGGGAAACATCAATCGATTGCCTCCAAATGCACCACAACTGGGGATCGAGTCTCCAACCTTTGGGTGCACAGGATCATGCTTCAACCAACTGAGCAACCCGGCCAGGGCTTGAGTGTATCATCTTAATCACGGTGACAGCTAATATCATGGAATGCCTCCTTTGTTCTGAGGAACGTACTAAGTGCTTTTCCTGGATAGCTTCGGCTCCAATGACAACGACTATGAGACAGATATACCGTGATCACAGGCACCTTTTTCATACAGAAACTACTAGTAAGGCCTAGAGTGGCGGAGTAACTTGTCCAAGAGCGCAGGTTTGTGAAGGAAAAGACAGAGAAACAAGGCCTGGCAGTGCCATCAGTGGACACCCGCCGGGGCCTGGGGGGATGATGGAATTGCCGGGTTTCCATTTGAAACAGAATGATTGGTTTAGGACTACACTTCAGACCTCTGAGCTCCAGCTCTAGGGAGGCTGACATGCTTTGTTTGTCTTGTTTATTTTCCCCCTGATATTGGAGCTTCCAGTTTAAAGCCTTTAAGGTGAGAATTTTAGAAACAGCACCGAAGGAGAGATGGAAAATATTGTTCCTTGAGTTCTACTTGAAATATTAAAAAAATTTTAAAAAATTTATGACTATAATTACAGTAACAGCAAAGATGAAATAGTTCTATATTTTTATTCTTTTACATTAGGTTAAACAAAATTATTTATTTTACATTCTTGTTGGCTATTTCCCCTCATGGAAATTCAGGTTTCAAAAATAAAGACTGTTTTCCCTCTAATTCATTCTTTTACCGGAGACCAGTGAATATTCATGGGAATGAATGATGTGTTTTCCAATTTTTTTTTGGGGGGGGCAGGTGCAGAGGGACCTAGTTTTATTTATTTTGAAGTAAAACTAATACATATAAACCTTCTAGAAAATAAATGTATAAGCAGGCAGTGCCATTGTTGGTGTTGCAATGTGAAACAATTATACATTACCATGAAATTTTGCGGTTTCATTCATGCATTTTATGCAACATGTAGTCCCAGGATAGTTTTTTTAAAAATAAATATGGTAGCGTTTATACCTACATAACACCTCCTCTGGTTTGATACATTTTTATAATGTAATGCTAGGGCGCCTTCTCCCCAGATTGATTTTTAACATGTTGTGTTGTTTCTGTAAGATCTCTTATTATCCTTTGAGATTAGGCATCTGGCTGACAGTTGTGATGGACAAGACGGACTAACGGGCATTCTTGGCACATTGCAGGCATTCTCAGTGCAGCCCCTATGTTCCAGGTGCTGGGCTTGACTCAGAGATGGTCAAGCCAAGGTCCTGCTTCCACAGCAGCTCCTGGTCTGGTGGACAGCAGAGACAGTCAGTGGCTTATGGTCACAGTCTCTACTTGCAGCTGTGCCTCATGGCGTGTCTGTTGCCCATGTCTGGAAATAGCCACTCCACCTGTCTCCTTGCTGCATTCCAGTCTGGGGCATTTGCTCTTTTTCTTGCTGAAGAGACCACAATAACATTCATGACATGTGTAGTTTTTAATTTATTCCAAAACCCTTTGTACCTTCAGAATCTCAAAAGGCAAATGCTGAGGAATTATGAAGTTTCTGATCAGTTAAAAGTTTTCTTTGAGAATGGATAATAAGTGAGAAATGGAATGTAAATGAAAAACGCTGATTATCAGTGAAAGAGAAAGTGAAACCTCTTTAAAATACAAAATGTTAAAGGAAACTTACTACAACAGCATACAATCTACACACTACCATTGATTTCTCACATTTCAGTGAATTATAGTAGTTTATAAATATCTGCAGAAAGAGCATTTCTCCTCTCTCTAATAGAATAACTTACTTGAAGCTATGCCTATCCCATTCATTCATTCATTCATTGTCAGTAAATATTTATCACATGCCTACTGTATGCTAGACTGTGGGGGGGGTATCAGAAATCAGAATAAAGCTCCTTGAGGAGCCTCAAATATCACTTATTTGGGGGTACAGAATAAGCAGATGTGTGTGTGTGTGTGTGTGTGTGTGTGTGTGTGTGTTGTGATAAGTGCTAATAAAGAAAAACCCAACAGGACAGGGAACCAGGAATAGCAGAGTCTCCGTGCTCTTGTATACAAGGATGCTGTAGTTAGTATCTCTGATGAAGTCACGTAATGCTCTGTTCAGCTGATCTCTCGTGGGCTTGCTCTGCCCTGTGTGTCTTCAGGCTTTGTTCACATGGCTCTTGGGCATCCTTCTGTGCCTCAGTTCACTCTCATTTCATCCCTCCGTGAGCCAGTATTTTCACAAACCCTCTATTTTCACCTAAGAGTCTCCACCTAACAATTTAGCATCATATGCTTCTGGCTTTGGTGACTCGGCGTCTAAACCATCTCTTCGAGTTTCAAGTTAATGAATTGGGTTTATCACCACTAAGATATAAGCAACTCTAACTTAAAAACTGAGTTTATTTCAAATGTTTGCCTTGAAGCCTTTTGGAACAGTTCTTCTATGTTAGAACTTGGAAAAGAGGGAGAAAAATGTGGACCAGAAGCTTTCCTTTCTTGTTATCAACAATTACTCAGTGTGGACACAGCCTTTTATGCACAGAATAATTGCACACTTTCCTCTGAAAAGACCCAATTGGCCTCCGGTCTCTCATTCTAGGGAAGCCTGATAGCAGACTTATGAAGACAGAACGTTCTGGAAGATGTAGTGCTGATCTTGTAGCATATTACAATGTGTTAGGCAGCAATGGCACAGACAGTAATATGGGTTTGATATTTTCTTCTTTACTTCTTGACCTTGAGGGGAGAATGAGAAATCCTATTTATGGTATACCACAATACTGTGACTTTTAAATCAGAAGAAGCCAGGAATGTTAAAAAGAGATGAAATATTTTTTTATTTGGGAAAAGCACAACCAATTTAGAGTTTTATTCTTTACATTATGAGTCAAAGAGTGGAGAAAGTAGATATTCATAGATAGTCAACACCCGGTATGATAGGTTAAAAAAGCAATTTTAGAAAATGTAACTGAACAAGTCCCATTATTTTTGTGTGTCAGGATGAAATTGTCCCATGCTAGGATAGAAATAACAAAGGAAACAAACGCTTTTAAGCATTGCTGTGATGGGGGGAAAATAGAGCATTTCTATTTATAACTTGTCCAGAGTCCCACATAAAAATAGCTCCAACAACCAGATTTGCTCATATCTGGAATACAACGTTGTTGCTGCCAGTGACGAAGAATTCTAATAAGAGCGACAGTGGCATTGGTAAATATTGAAAGTTTAGCATCTTTCTTTTACCCCAGCTTTCATAGGGGGAGAAAATTAGCTAGTGGAACAGTCCTGGCTTCTGTGTCACACATGTTGTTATTTTCCAGGCTGTTTGTCTTTGTTTTTAATGAAAAGGATGCATTTGCACCCCTGGGACTTACCCCATGAGGTGGATATATCAGTGATGATTGTAGTTCTGTCTGTGAAATGTTTATCAGGCTAAGAGATTTAACATCTTATTCTTCTAGAGACTAATTTTGTGTGATTGCTATGACAGCAGATATATTAGGAACCTCAGAAGTTAATGAAAACTGTTCTTTCTCTCATTTTCAGCGGAGCTTCCTGGGCTATGCCAGTTTTAAAGTGGGGGAGCTACTGAGGTCAAAGGAGCAACTGCTAGCCCTGAGCCTGAGGTGGGTCTCTCGGTCTGCAATAATACCGTTACAATGACTAGCCCGCAATATTTACTGAGGGCTGGCTGGGTTTGACAGTCATAGTTCTCGAAGATGTTTAGATGTCAGCTCTCAAAGGGCTTACATTCTCCATTGCAACAGGTTGAATTGAAACAGCAATTATTCAAGCTCACATTCAAGTTCACGTTTCAGATTGTCAAAGTTTATTAGCCGTTGTGGTGGGGGGTGGGGGGTGGGGAGGGGAATTGCATTATCATTAAAGGGATGACATTTGTTTGAAAGTAAGAAAGCAATAGAAGTGATGAGCAATGTTATTAAATAATTTGTGTTACTTGTCAAAATATTACTTTTAAAATCAAGTGCATTTCTAGGATGGAAATATATTGGCTAGAGGCATTGCAGATTTTTTGATACTAGAGGGTAAAATGGTTATTTCCCTTTTTAAAGCTTATTTTGTTGCTATCTTAAATATAAACATATGTTAAAATAGACTCATATTGAAACAGACAATAGATAGAGCTGATTTATAGTATAAGGACAATTTCTTTTGATAAAGAAGATGAAATAATCTTCAGGAAGTTCTATAGTGTTTTAATAATAAAAAGAATGTTAAAAATAAATATTTATTTTTAAGTTTATAATAAATTTGAAACAATAATATGTTGCTATATAACTATTCTTTTACAATTATGTGTACATGGAGTGGAGAATACTGCCTTGCAATATTTATATAGTGTAAAAATTGTATGGAATCCTAGTTGTAAACTGAAGATGCCCTTCTTTTGATGAAATATAAAGATGACTCTCAGGGACAAGGTAGTATCTTAAGTTTGTTTGCTGTCTGACCCAGCCCCCAAGGACCACTTATTACCAAGAATTTATTTTAGTAAAAATGCTGTGACGTCTGTTGGAATTTGTACTGCTGGCTGTCTCCTTTTCTGATTAGTACTGACTCATACAGTTTTGCATTTTGACTTAATAGGTAGTACACAATTTAAAGTAATTTATATTCATGCCTAAAAGTAAGCGTTGAAGCCACTATCTTCTCTCTGGCTTCCCTTAGGCTGCCTCGTAAACATCTGTTATTTTGTTGTTGTTGTTGTATTTTATTTGGGAAGACATTTAAAATATTTATAGTGTGGGGGGTTTTATTCCCAATAAAATTTTGTTGCATTTATTTTCAGTCTGAAGGGTGTACGGGACGGCTGAAAAGTCTAGTTTTTCAAAGGCACTGAGGCCCTGGAAAAACCTGTTAGCAGCCTAGCGTGGTGGTTAGATCTGACCAGATTGCTGCTGGGTTAAAACTCGGAGCTAACTTAGAAGTAGCAGCAGGTCATGCGTTTTCTAGATCAGATGCTGAGCACTTTATTCCTCCTTTTTCTGACTCACAAGCAGCAGTTGTGATTTTATCATAACTGTCACTAACAGCGGCGTGCCACACAGCATTTAGACACTGCCTGGGAAACCGAAATCAGGGGACTGGAAATTGTTGGTAAAATGGACATTAGTGATTACATACGATGCCTTTGAGGGAGGGTAGGCACAGAACGGTCAAGTTGAGAGTACGACCCTTGGAAGGAGATAGGAATATAATAATTTCAGATTTAGAGGCTATCAAAACAAATTTCCACTTTTGATTTAATACCCCTAATTCCTGTTCAGTTGAGTTTGATTGTGTTTAAGGAAAACAAATTGAAAAACAATGAGTTGCATTTTCTAGAATAAATAATTCTTGAAAATCAATTCTGAAATGGCTAGGTTATTATTTTTTTTCCCTTTAGTGCTTTGCCAAGTTTTTCGATTTCCCTCCCTATGAACCAGACACAGTAGACTTATCATAGCCTGTGATTTCTGGTGCTTCATGTTTTTTTACTTCTGATGTAATTCATCTTCTCTCTACTGACTAGAGAGTCTCTGAGGTACAGAGCTGGGGAACATTAGGTCAGGAACAAAAAGCTTGTTTTGGGTTGTTTGTTTTGTTTTAAATATTTCCTTGTACTGTTTATATCTGACTTTTATCCCACTTATAGTCCAGACATTTGAACACAATACAATTCTCAGGTTGTTATGTTTTAAAATATAGAGATGTATGGGAAAGACTATTAAAGAAATAAACATTCGTCTTCTGTTTATTTTTAAGATTTCCCTATTTTATATAACATTTATAGGTATACATATTGATACATATACATATGTATCATAGAATGTGTTGTTGCATATGTATTTGTTTATCTGATTTTTAGGACTATTTTGCTTTCCCACAAACCATAAATACTTATTTTCTACCATCAAATATTTGTGCTTAGAGAAGTTAAGATCCAAATTATGATGTCTTTACATTTTTATTATGTTTTATTAATTTAACCTTCATAAACACACATACACACTTCATTTTTGTTGTTTGTAAAAACAAAAGAACAACAGATAAACCCTACATATTTGAAATGTCATCCCCCAAAGGCTTGTTCTTCACTCCAGAGCTGGAAATAATAAGGAAAGGCTCCTTAAACTATGACATATGGTTTTCTCCACAAGTGCACTCAGCGTGATAAAGACACGAAATTGCCACCATCATCTCACATGTTGGGAGCCCACGGGTGTCCTAGACACCCCAGGGCAGTGAATCAGAATAAGTTTGTTCTTAGAATCCTATGAGTGCCTCTGAACCTCTGCAGTAACCTGAGATGCACCTTGGCCATAGTCTGACAATACAGTTTTAAATGATAAATTATTTTTCTATTCAAATTAAATTAAACTTGTTTAGAGTTTTAATCTCTTACTACTACTACTATGCTTTTCCTACACAGAGATAAAGACTATACACATCATCTTACTTTAAACACCAGATATATTCTTTAAAGTTCTGTGTATGATGGAATGCTTCTGTAACAGCACCTTTTCTTATCAATAGCTACTTGAACCTCAGAGATGAATTTAAAAACCACATCCATGTGTCTTAATTATTATATCTATTTTGAATACATTCTACTCTCTTTTGAAAGTCTTCCAGTTAGCTTTCCTAGATACTAAAAAGCAGGAGTGCAGCCAAAAGTTCTGATGATTTGGCAACACTAATTTTTCTGTATGTCTAAAACATTTTCTCTATTAAACTATAGGCTCAGTGCATGAAATTCATGCACGGGTAGGGTCCCTAGGCCTGGATGGTACTCAGGGCCAATTGGTGGGGCAAGTGGTGGGGCATTCGGGGCCCCCGCTCACACCTGCCTTGGCTGGTGCTGCCTGCTTACCTGCTCCACCATCCTGCCCCAGTCCTGCTCTTCTTGGGGCCCTTCGGGGCCGTCAGTGCCTCCAATGCAGCCTGCTGCCAGCACCGCTGACACCTGCCATGTTCTGCGCCACCCCCTGGTGGCCAATGAACATCTAACTCCTGGTCAGTTGAACTCCCGCCCTTAGGGATAATTTGCATATTAGCCTTTTATTATCTACACTAATAAAAGAGAAACATGCAAATTGGTGTCACTCCAGTATGCTCACCAGCCAATCAGCTGAGTATGCAAATTAACTCAACAAAGATGGCGGTTAATTTGCATATGTAGGCACGGAGTGAAGACTGAAGAGGCTTGGCTTCTCTGCTGCAGCTGGAGCGAAGGCCTGGGTCCCAGATGCTGGTGGAAAACCAGTGTCAGCAGCCAAGGGAAGGAAGGCCTATTGCACGAATCTCTTTGTGCAATGGGCCTCTAGTGTAGGATAAGGGCAGTAGACGTTGACTGGTGACCAACAAACCTTTGAGAGAGAATATTCATGATTAATTATAAAAACAGAATAGTATTATACTTTATTAAATGCATCAATGGAAAAGTTAGAGGGTGTGAATGGCATATAAAAAGCTAAGTTAATTGATGCTTTTATGTAGAATTTATTAAGAAATGCACATCAGAAAGCCTGAAAGTATGCATAAGAACACTGCATTATTTTCTTGGGCATGAACAAGCAGAAACACAGACAAGTCAGTAGCAAATGCACACTCATGATTGATCCAGACATGTCTAAGGGGAGACCTCGCATCCTGGAGCGCTTCCTTCCCTGCGCTTTTGGTGCGATTGAAGCTCTCCCAGAATGGATCCTCTGATTCTGACACTGACTTTGACCTCATAGACGTGTGGGAAGAGGTAACTAACACTATTTGAGCTTCATGAGGGGTTAGCATTTCCAACATCTTGTCTAATTTGATCTTTTAATAACCTTGCCTGGAAGGTGGTATTATTTCTGTTTCACTCCTAAGCATGCTGAGGAGCAGCAGTTGGATTTGCTAAGGTCACTCAGCTGGGATGGGATGGAAACATGGAGAGGAGAGAGAAGGATTCTCATAGCAAGGATTTCCTAGAGAAGAGACATTCTGCTTAGAATCTTAGGATTCAGTGATTGTAGAGCCCAGAAGAGACCTTGGCACTGCAGGTTCTTCTCGGACACATTTAGTGGCGGGGACTCAAACTCGGGAAGCCATGCATCTTTTCCGTTTTCAAACAGGTCCGTGTTAGAAAAGTATTCTTATTTTATCCTAAGTTTGATTGCCCTGCCGTGGTCCCAGCTCTCTTTCATGGTGTTGAGTAAAACAAGTCTCCAGCTTCTTCTCTGTGGTCACATTTGAAAGCAGCTATTTTGTCCAACAATAAATCTTTCCTCCTTTTTATTCTCAGGAAAGAATGTAATTAACAGGACAACAGATTTTCATACCAGACTTTGGTTCAAGTCCCAGCTTTGTCAACAACTGTGTCTCCCCAGGCTTATCTACTCTTTAATGTCTGCTAATAGACGTGGTAATGACCTCCCTCCCGGAGTGATTCTGGGCAATTAAAAATTGTAATCATGAGCTATACACTTCCTTGCACTAGCGAAACATGCTCTATAGAGGTTGTTTTCCTTGTTTCTTGTTTAGTTTGACATCTACAATTCTCCAAATTGGTCAGTGGCTGAGGAGTTGGTTTAACCTTTGGTCTGGACATACTATTTCTATTCCCTGAGGAATGGATACTTACCTG